AAGACGCACTCATTTTTTGTGAAAGCAAATAGCTAAATCAATTCATAAATGAATTAGAATAAATTATATAGATATAGTCCGAAAAATACTGCTATTTATATACAATAATTAAGTAATCGAATAACACTGATCGATTAAATTTTTGCATAATCTGTGTTAAGAAAAATATAAATTTAATTTAAAGACACAAATTTGCATATTTGATCTGTAATTTTATGACATTGTAACGGTGTTTTTCAATAACAAAATCTTCAATTTTGTTACACCTTGATAGACATTTCAAAAAAACAAACTCCGATGGACTAGTTAGTTATTGGTGAATGTGTAAACTGGACTTGATTGGGAGTAATTTCAAATTATAATCTTGTGTTATCCAAAAAATAACCTTGGTTTAGTTTTAATTAGTGGCAGGTTTATGTAGGGTCAGACAAGGCCATCGAGATCAACTTTGGATTGTGTATGTGTTTTTTTTACAATCTTTGGAATGCTTATTCAAAATTTGTAGTTATGCCGCCTGCTTCTGTTCCTTGTCCGATGCATTTTTTGTGTGTTAATTTATTGTTGTACAATATATTATTAAATAGTGAATAACTGCAATTAGTACATCTGATACTCTTTTTTCACGGTGGATACTTTGCATGGACCATCACGTAAAAGAAGATTAAGTGTATATATTTATTCTTATAATGGTGCAGAATGTAAAATAGGTGTACAAATGTACAAAGAAAAACGTATGAAAATTAGTTACAACACTTACAATCAAATAATTTCAATTTCCAGAAAACAAAGTCGAGTGATTGGCAAACATTTATCTTCTCAATTTTAAGAGTTTTTGCAAAACGTGCATTACTTCTAAGTTTACCACAAATTAATTGAAAAAATAGTTAATTTAATATATACAAACTAACCATTTATTTAAATAACTATATTAAACTTGACAGTTTAATATATTTAGGAATAAGTTATGTCTTTAATCTAATAAAATGTTCAGTTGAAAAGGTTCTGTAAGTTCTTTCTCCCAAATTTACTTCTGTAATGGACTTAATTTATTATTTCCATTGTATTTCATGCAATATAAACACATAGATCCATGCTTAATTTAAGAGTAATCCGGTATTAAAAAAAAAACTGAAACATTGACCCTGAACAAGTAAGTTTACGATCACTTTTTTTATTACAGCTGAAATTATTATTATTGCATTACAATGTATAAAATGCTCGCTCAATCTTAAATAATAGTTTCTATAATTCAATTTACTTTTCAAGGATAACGTACAAATTAATTTCATATGAAGATTTTTTTCTTCTTCGAATAACACCGAATCTTCACCCATTAATTTGTGATTCTAATGCATTAGCAACATTGAAGTAATTGTATACTTTTTTTCGCTCTCTTATTATTATCCACTCGTTGTTTAATAATTAGATAAACACGGATTTTCTTTGTGTTTGCACTCGGTTACGAAAGTAACATATATATTAATCAACACGTAATAATTGTTCCGTTGAAAGCGTAAGTATGTGTTTTTATTTTAATTCTATTGGAACGGAAAAGTGGAAAACTTCCTACGGCCGTTTTGAAATAATACCATAGATTTTGCCATTGTTTTTATTTACGCTGATTGAGTTATGTTCTCTTACACCTATCCTTCATTGCTACACAAAATGGAGAAAAAAATATATGTTTCACTGTAACATTTCAATGATCAAGGTCTCCATCTATCCAGATTCGATTTACCGGCTTGCACATACACTACGTTTACGCCCTTACCAAGAATGTTACGTAACGGTCCATTTAGCTTCGTATATTTTGAATTAGAGCACAGTAGATTTTCCACGAAAAAGATGATTGCAATAGATGAATTTCTTGGATATTAATACAAAATTTGTGACATGAAAAATTGAAAATGGAATAATCTAAGCATTTCGATCAATTTCGAAACAAGGCAAATTAACAAAAGAAAATACGAGTTTCGAATTAAAATTTATCTTTACAGATTATTTTATTTGACCTTTACTACTTTTATTTACTGAGACATTATAAACCAATTAAGAGACGTAGACTGAAGGACTCTGTAGGTCGATATACTTTTGAAGGAATTCGCATTGTTTTTTAAATTAGTACAATAAAGTCGTGCGGATTTTATATTTGATAGCCAATTAATTCCATTTAAGTAAAATTTTAATTTAAATAGTCCTTAATGTTAATTTCATAAACGCGCCTCTCGTGTATTGCTTGTGAAATATTTGTTATATAATAAAGGAAGATCGTGTTTATAGAGAAATAAAACAAAAAATATTGGTGAAACAAATAAGTTTTGAAACTTTGCATTTCGTTGTGTTGCATCAAAATAATATGATCTTATATAAATCGCTTGCAAAATGCACGAATGTAACAACCACAAGGTATTACATTTTTTATAAATATCTGCATAATTAAATACAACGCCCAGCGGATTTTTTTTGTTTTAAAATATAATAATATTAAAATATGCAAATAATGCCTTGTTTAGCATTAAATCTCCATAGATAAAATTATGGATTTTTATCTATCTTTCAACAAATAGATGAATAACTTCGAGCTAGGAATTCGAACGAAAACAAGAACAAAGTTGTACGCGATTGTGGGTGGTCTACGTTATTAACCCTGAGCAGGTTAATAAATAAATATCACAGCAACAGCGACACGAGAGAATGCTTTTCTTTCTTTTTAAAGGATTAAATACGGGTTTGAACTAAAAAAAGCTTGGTTTTGTCATGTGATAAGAGTGTGCCTGCTATTCGCAAACAGCATTATAATGGCGAATGCAATTACGTAATGCAATTGATTTTCTCGAGAGAGTGAATGTTCCTGGCGACTTGCAATCTTTAATAAATTTATTATTTATTCATGCCTCCCTCCCAGCAAATTAAATGCCATATTAACAATAATATCAAGGAGAAGTGGAATTCCAATAATTGATTTCGAAAACTCACAACTTCCGAATCTCGGATACACGCACGCACACGAAAAATATGCACGTAACAAGAATAATAGAATTCTATACAGGGCACGAGACAAAATCTTTTTTTTTCATTCGTTATTATGATTTTGATTTACATACGTTTCGTGATTCGCGTTTCTACAACAATTTATGTAAGAGGAGCACGCGCTTTCCTCTTTAACATTCGGAACGTCTTTAAAACTAGTGATGAAACTACCTCAGATGATTATTAAAAAGAAAGTACCCGAAACTTGTTGACATTTTAATTGTTTTTTGTTTGTCATTGAAAATGAGATAAAAATATATTTCTTGCTTTGACAATTATTGCTTTTATTGTCATATTTACTAGCTGTTTAGATAACATTTAATGCAGTTACAATGTAATTTTTTTATTTGCATATTTCGTTATTTATGATTTTCCATTGGTAACAATTGTATACAATATATCTATGAAAACTGACATAACAATAAATGAGAACTATGACTATCAATTAGATACTACATTATTGTTTAATGATATATTTATGTATACAAGTTATTTATTAGTATAGACATGAATTTCAAGTTAGTCCAATTTACTGATAATGCAATGCAATGCAATTCAATATGTTAATATATTGATGCAATAAATTATGTTATTTTAATGATTGTATTACCTAAATTATAATCATCTAATCAAGTAATTTTGCAAATTTCTATGCTGCTAAATGTTCATTTATGTTGTAAAATTAATAAACAATAATATAACTCCGAAATTTTAATCATTTTAATAATAAAGAAATTGAAATATATAAAGAAATATTGTTATGATAGGAATTATAAAAATATTTTCAATATTTGGAAAACTTGAAATATTTAAAGTTGATTTATAAAATATTATAAACATGCACTCACGTAAATTAGTAAATGGTTTTAATAAAAAAAAATCTAATTTAATGAAATTAAGTGAATTCCGCCCAGGTTGAAATGTTAACAATAACTGGTATTTATGTAAAAGCATTTGATTGATGTAAGTCATTGATCTGTCAACCAGTTATCAAATTGAATGACTACGCGAAAATAGGAAAGTCAACGTTCAATAAACCGCATATATGATTTAAACTTTATTTTTCTAAGATCTTATCTTTGTTGATTTCATAGTATAATTATATTTATTTTTGATATATATATATATAATTGTGAATACAATGCTTGATATATTTGAAATGACAGAAATAAGCAGCTGAATATTGATAGTAGTAATTTATATATTCTTTCTAAGTATCCACGATCTTGTGTGATGTTAATAAGGATTGAGTTGGAAAATAGGACCCATTTTAAAATATAAAGTATACTTAGATTTATATTGTTATAATTTGGGTAATTATGAAGTTTACGTAAAAAAATTTGGATTTACTGCAGAAATTTGAAGTAAATTTGATTAATGCTTCTTGCATTGCTTTAGTCTGCTCTTAAGCTTCAAGAACGTAATTGTGGATTGATTATAGCAATTTGTATTATAAACAATATAATTAGATTTTATAATTTAATGTTATGAATTTATTGCCAATGCTAATATATGCCGAAGGTTTTTTGATAAGGTGTAGTAAATATAATAACAATTAAATAATTATAACAAAAGTTAAGGATAAAGCAACGCTGTGAATTAATTAGATTGAAATAAAAGAATGAAATGTTAATATAACTTATATGTTGTAATGCAACTCATACATCCGTTTTATTAAATGTAATAATGATACAAATATTTATAAATAGCACTTGAGAAGAGAATGGGTTTTTGTTATAAAACGTACTCACATGCACGTAAAACATAACAACAAAAGCGAGCATAATGTGTAATGTATTAAGTCTTTCGAAATATCACACGGCCAAACCTCTTTCTCGTATTTTTCTCTTTCGGTTACTTTTCATTTTTTTTTGTACATACTGCATTTAATTAATTGCGAGAAGTTGCTGTACACGTCGACCTTGCCACCTAAAATGCACCCTTCTGATGAGAGATCTTTTTGTTTGCAGGTGTTTTGTTCGATGATGTTGGTCGTCGTAGGCTTGCCGTTGATGAGGCAGGAGCGCGGCGCCGGCGAGGACTTAATAGCGGGCGAGGCTTTTCTCTCGATGCTGATAAGACCTAGAGCTAGACCAACTTCAACCTCGACGACAACAACAACGTCGTCGACGACAACGATGGCTGCAACAACGACGACATCCACGACGGAATCAACGACGCAGGCGGACGAAGTGATTCGGGAAACCCGCAGTTCGGTGTACGAACCGAGGACGTTCACGAAACAGCCAACACTGAGTCCCAGTGAAAGCCTAGGTGGTGTTAGTAGTTTTAAGCCCAGTGAACCAGAAGTAAAAGATGCTGTGTCGGTGCGTGTTTCGACCTCTACGAAGAACGATTCAGCGACTGCAAAGAAGCAGCAAGTCTCGAATTCAGATGGAAGCAAGAGCGAATTTGATGTCGATGAATCAGAATCGGCGACTGATCAGTACGAGGCTCTGCCGAGTCCTTCGCCTCTGACCTACGCAAATCCCTACCATCAGGTGATATACCACAATAGCAGGGAGTTGAACCGCGCCAGGTCCGTTTCGTACAACACGGCCATCCAGAATGTGGACACCAATGAGACAAAAAGTACGGCGGAAAGCAAGAACTACTACGTGACCAAGTATCCCAAATACTATACGGACAAGAGCAGTTGGGCTACGCCGAACTATTATCCACAGCCAGAGCAAAACTACGAAGTAGATGAGTCTGTGAGCGTGGAGACCAACGGTCGAGCGCACGGTGTTCAGGAAGCCCAAAAGAAAAAGGAGGACAACCAGAAGCATGGGTACGTGGTGGAAGGAAGGAACTATCGCAAGTACCGCGTGGAGGAGCGTACTTCAGATGGATTCATCGTTGGGGAATACGGGGTCGTAAGCCACGATGATGGTTCGCTACGAGGAGTCCGATACACGGCCGATGGTACAATAAACCCACGGCTCATCTACGACGCCCTCATGAAATTCTTATCGCTGTGATGACTTCCGGTGCCAATCCACTCGTACTGATTTACTTCCTAGTTCCTCATAAAAAAATATCCATTGCCTATTTTAATACTCGCTTTACGCACACTCAACAAATAATTATGTAAAAAAAACTTTTCCGATTTGTTGATTTATTTCGATGCACTCACCAAAATTAATTAATTAAACCGAGTCATGTATTTAATGTTTAAAGAAAGTTTATTTATTTGTGAAAAATCCATGAATCAGAAAATTATTTTCAATGGAGTGCGCGTAATGCCGATTTTAGCCCTACCCTCGACGAAATCAACGAAAAAAATCATACTTAATGCTTTTTTTTAATTTAGACAATTTATAGGAGAGTTTGAGTAACGAGAAGAAAATCCAAAAAAAAGGACACAAGGACAATAATAAAAAGGTTTTCTTTTCCGTTACCTTTTCTCCTAGAACATTTATTTTATTATTTTGTTTAAATGTAAAATAATATAATAAACTAAAGGCTTCTTGAAATCACGTCTCCTCGTTTTTTTTTTAATAAATGAATATGTTTCTTCTAATTAATTGACGAATTGCTCATATGATCTTCTCATTTATTATTTTATATTATATATTATTATTTTTAATGTAATTGTAATTATTTAATTTATAATTTAAACTGTCGACTATAGGAACTTCTTTTATTAATGCAATATTTGCAGTGCGTAGCTTATTTAGCAGAAATCAATAGAATGAAATAAAACGTATCACAGTGCTGTGTGAATGTGAATGAAAATTCGAACGAGTATATGAGGTCTTTATAATAATTTTTTTTCAATAATAAAAATTAATAAGCAAATTTTCTTTATTTTATTTCCTAATTTATCGTTCTAATTATAACTTATTAATGAATTTAGTAGTAATGTTAATATTATACTAAATAAAGATTAAATTTTTAAAATAAGAAATATTTTTTTAAAGAGATTTATATCATTTGTAGTGATAAAAATCTCTTATGTTGGTGAGATTAGAACTAGCCAACTTTCGTATTATATTTTATAGCAAATGAATTATTTATAAACAAAGCAAAATATCAATAGCTTCAAAGCGCCATCTATTGCAGATCGCATAAACTTAAATAAATAATTTCATTGAAAATAATGTATAAGTGGCTAGCGAAATTGTGCAAACAGGAAAAAAAAGAATTTGTTCTAAATAAAGAAAAATGAATATATATATATTTGATATTGATAAATGATGAGAGGTTCAAAAGAACATTCGAGTTAGGTGTAACCTGTCTCAATGTTATTTTGAAAAGTCTTGATTAAGATCAACGTGGAAACAATACACAATGTACATGTCTTTCATTCTTTCAATCATTCGCATTACTTACTTGCAGATCGTGTGAATCGTAATATCTAGATAATGTCCGTGAACAGCGCTAATCTCGTGTTGAAAAATCGTAGCGTCACCATTCGACTAGAGGCCAAACAAAGTGGACACACCTCAAGGAGATTAATCTTTCTACTTATTATTTCGTCGATCGTTTCATACATTTATTTTTACAAACTCTATATTATGTTGCAGATTGAATACTATTTCAGACTTAATTGTTTACATTGCAATCCACATAAGTAGCAGTTCCTTCATAATTGTAGATAATGACTATATAATTTTAGATTACAATTTCATTTAACTTTTTACTCTACCGATTTTTTTTTAAACATGAATTAGTTGAAATAGCATACATATAAATATAAGACCTATGGTCAATAGCCCTTTGCAGCAGTTTAATTTAATTTTTGTTATTAAGTTATTGTATTGAGTTGGTATTTTGGTGATTTATTATTGCAATAAAAATTATTATTATTATTTTTAATATATATATAAAGAAAATTATTATTTCAATAAATTAATAATAGTTGATATTTTTAAATATAATTATAAATTTGACTAAGCTTATAGACCAGTGATTCCCAAAGTGGTCTATATCAACCTGCAAAGGCTCTACGTCAGCGGAAAAAAAATCTGGGGGTCCATGAAATGAAAATGGGTGTCCACGATAGTGGATCTCAACATACACTGATAGTACCTATTTACTTACATTATACTATCTTATAATATAAAGACATATACATTATTTATAAAAGTACCTATGAAGTAAAAAATGTATTATATATGTTTATAAAATTGTGTAAGTTGTAGGATGTGGTCGCAATACATTTTGAACTTGTAAAAACCTGCATATAATGATATACCAGTATCATCTTGTTACAAGCATACGCGCAGTCTCAGAGCAAAGATCTTAATAAGTATAAAGATGTCCCAATATAAATAATAAATTTACAAAAAATCAATATCAGGTAAGTAGGGGGTCTACCCAAAACCGAAAAACATGGAAAGGGGTCTACGACACAAAAAAGTTTGGGAACCTCTGTTATAGACACTCAAAATGTATTTATTGAAAAATAAGTTATGAAACGTAGTATTAATATTCAAATATATGTTTGTATAATTTAAAATCATAGAGTACAAAAATAGCTTAAAATAATTACTCAAATAGCGATTTCATCTGTAATTATTTATAGTATTTGTCACGGCAATAAAAGCAAATAATATATTTCTCACGATCCTATATATGACAAAAACCGTCCTTTCTCTATACCAAGACATTTTATAGGCAGTATAAAAGTGATGGTACTTGAGTAAAGCATGTCAACCAAAATTAAATATGTTGAAACGTGTACTGAAAGTAATTAAACATATCCTATTAACACTATAGACTTGACAATGTCAATGTGTTTTTCCATATTATATCAGAAATTTGTAAAAATGGATTTGACATCTACTTAATTCAAAAAAAATAATAACAGACAGATTTAGTAATAAACTGAAAGAACAACATGATTTGAAGATAAGTAGTGATGATAACTAAAGTATAGACTAGTAATTTAAAACAAAGATAAAAAAAATATTTTAATACTAATTTTAATTATAGGAATTTTCAATAAAACCGAAAGAGAGAAAATTAAACTTTGTTCATCTTAAAAATGAGTGCAACAACCTACATCAAAAGAAGCGACTAATACGAGTGGCATGAACTTTGCAAAATCTGTTGATGACCTGTAGATCAAAGGGTTCACTCTATGCATTACCACCGCACATAAAGTCGTTTCTTTAAATCGATCTTTTCCTGCGTTCTTGCTATGGAAAATCACCGTACGAAGCCCATCGTCAACCAAACAAACCACGGAGAATCATATCAAGGGTGTCAGGAAAGGAGACAACTCAGGTTCGAATCAATATCTTAATACTCAAATATTATAATGAACATATTCATTTACGATAATGAGATAGCCAGAGACAGAATAAAAAAGAGTTTTAATATGCGTATAGGAATTTTACCAGTAACAATTATTCATAATGAATTAAATGCCAATTAAGTGTCTAAAAGAGTATCGCATAAACCAAGAAACCTGTATCTGGTAGTAATTAAAATTGTATCTTCATTACTGAATATGAACCCCGCAATCCATATAATTGCAGTCACACTGTACTGAGTAAATGTAAATCAAGAATGATATTTCAATCTGGGCCCGGGGCCCAAGGAACTGCATTCGTAATTCTATAATAAGTCAAATTATTTATGAGGCATTAATTGGAGGTAAATCGTATCTTGCATTGCATACATTGTGCCATTGCTAACCGATATTAAATTACGCACGTGTTTGTTATGTTATGCAAATGGCGACCGGACGGACAAATGCAAAAGAATAAATGGACGAGGATGGGTGGAATGCGACGCGATAAATCAAAGCGGCGCGACATCGCGGCAAATTGAAAACTCGCCGCAATATTTACGACCGTGAATTCAATTAGCGTATTGTGCGCTCCGGAAGCAAGAGGAGCAACAAGAAATGGAAGAACAACAGTCCAAAGACGGCCGCAAGAAGCAACAGGATGAAAAACAAAAAGCATAAAATGAGGAGGAGAGAAGAGAAAAGAGAAGACGACATTCTATTACTACGCATTTTCTGAACCGGTTAAAAACGCAGGATAAATTGTCCTTGGGGATAAAAAATCTCCTTCATTCCTCCACGTGGGCAAGGAGAGTTGCTGTAATGATGTGAAATGTTGCGGGCGGTTCGAACGGCGGCGCCATCGACGTCGACGTCAATTCCTGCTCAAGGTGGAACACAATCATTAAAGTATCGGTATTTTCACGAACAATTAGGTATAATGAAGATGATTGCTGTTTATCTGCAGACTATGCTGCAGGAAGAGCGGGCATCAATTACATGACTGTATATTTATCAAAACCATTGCTTCGACGAGCATCGACGAAACAAACGGAAAAATATGCAACGTTAATAACAAGAATGAAAGATATGTAACAACTTTGCAGAACGAAAAAATCTAAAGCAGGTTCTCAATCTATATATACACATAGGTGTAACATATAAAATGAGTCATGTGTGGAAGAATTAATTGTCCACGGACAAATCACGTGGAAACCACGCAGATATAATATATATCTTTTTTTAATCACAAATATGTCTCATGTATGTTGTTTTATCTGTCCCACACTAATCATCGCAAACATTTGTAGCTAACAATTTTAGTTCCAAAACATATTTCGTATTCTAATTTATGCGCTCGTTCGGATATAATTTCCGACCGAAATTGGTTTGCTCGAATAAATTATTACGGGATCTGTTTTCCATTCTACTAATATCTTTTACAAAAAAAAATCTTCTAGATTATGTTATTTGTATATTGCATTACGACACTGAAATAATATCTTAACATAATTCAGTTAAGTTCAAGATTTTTTTTAAAGAAAATGTATCCAGGAAAATACAAAAAAAAATTATAATTATATGTAAAACATTTTTTAGTATTTTCATTTTATATACTCACTTGAAAATTGTTGTTTCTAACATCAAAATATGTTGAAATTAAAGCACAAATTTATATTTTTTTCATTGGTAATTTTCGTTTCATAAAATTCCATTAAAAATTTTCAGTTTTAATAAGGTTCACTGTTATTATTTATTTCGCAGTTAGTATATTTTGTATAATTAAGATATTTTAAGTAATTATTGCAACCCTACTTCAAAAAATAAATAAAATATCGATTTTTCAAACTGCCTCGTTCTAAAAATAGAAACATACTAGGTAGAACTAGCATTCTAAAGTAG